TTTGGTCATCGGTGTTGTTCTATTTAAACAAAACCGATACTATTGCGGCATGTCGGTTATATCAGGACTTTGCGTTTTTAACACTGTGGTTATGACTTAAGCGTGGTCCGGTAGTAAAAAAAAAAAATATGGCCTTAAGCCCCGTTGTGACTGAAGCGTGGCCCCGTTGTAAAAAAAATGGCCTTAAGCCACGTTTTGACTTAAGCGTAGGCCCGTTGGGATCTAAGCGCAAGCCCGTTGTGAATTAAGCGGTATCCTGTTGTAAATAAAAATTGGGTTTTAAGCTCCGTTAGGACTTAAACGTAGGATCGCTTTGACTTACGCGTAAGCCCGTTGTGAATTAAGCGTGATCCCGTTGTAAAAAAAAAATTTGACATTAACCACCGTTGTGAATTAAGCGTGATCCCGTTGTAAGAAAAAAAATATGACATTAAGCCCCGTTGTGAATTAAGCTGTGTCCCGTTGTAAAAAAAAAAAAAAATGACATTAAGCCCCGTTGTGAATTAAGCGTGATCCCGTTGTAAAAAAAATATATGGTCGTAAGCCCCGTTGTGAATTAACAACGGGACACCGCTCAATTCACAACGGGGCTTAAGGCCATATTTTTTTTTACAACGGGACACCGCTCAATTCACAACGGGCTTAAGGCCATATTTTTTGTTTACAACGGGACACAGCTTAATTCACAACGGGGCTTAAGGCCATATTTTTTTTTACAACGGGATCACGCTTAATCCACAACGGGGCTTAAGGCCATATTTTTTTTTTTACAACGGGACACCGCTTAATTCACAACGGGGCTTAAGGCCATGTTTTTTTTTACAACGGGATCACGCTCAATTCACAACGGGCTTAAGGCCATATTTTTTGTTTACAACGGGACACAGCTTAATTCACAACGGGGCTTAAGGCCATATTTTTTTTTACAACGGGATCACGCTCAATCCACAACGGGGCTTAAGGCCATATTTTTTTTTTTACAACGGGACACCGCTTAATTCACAACGGGGCTTAAGGCCATATTTTTTTTTACAACGGGACACCGCTTAATTCACAACGGGCTTAAGGCCATATTTTTTGTTTACAACGGGACACCGCTTAATTCACAACGGGGCTTAAGGCCATTTTTTTTTTCAACGGGACACAGCTTAATTCACAACGGGGCTTAAGGCCATATTTTTTTTTACAACGGGACACCGCTTAATTCACAACGGGCTTAAGGCCATATTTTTTGTTTACAACGGGACACCGCTTAATTCACAATGGGGCTTAAGGCCATATTTTTTTTTTTTACAACGGGACACCGCTTAATTCACAACGTGGCTTAATGTCATATTTTATTTTTTTACAACGGGATCACGCTTAATTCACAACGGGGCTTAAGGCCATTTTTTTTTACAACGGGATCACGCTTAATTCACAACGGGGCTTAATGTCATATTTTTTTTTACAACGGGATCGCGCTAAATTCACAACGGGCTTACGCGATCCTACGCTAAAGTCATAACGGAGCTTAAAACCCAATTTATTTTTTACAACGGGACACCGCTTAATTCACAACGGGGCTTAAGGCCATATTTTTTTTTACAACGGGATCACGCTTAATCCACAACGGGGCTCAAGGCCATATTTTTTTTTTTACAACGGGACACCGCTTAATTCACAACGGGGCTTAAGGCCATGTTTTTTTTTACAACGGGATCACGCTCAATTCACAACGGGCTTAAGGCCATATTTTTTGTTTACAACGGGACACAGCTTAATTCACAACGGGGCTTAAGGCCATATTTTTTTTTACAACGGGATCACGCTTAATCCACAACGGGGCTTAAGGCCATATTTTTTTTTTTACAACGGGACACCGCTTAATTCACAGCGGGGCTTAATGTCATATTTTTTTTTACAACGGGATCGCGCTAAATTGACAACGGGCTTACGCGATCCTACGCTAAAGTCATAACGGAGCTTAAAACCCAATTTATTTTTTACAACGGGACACCGCTTAATTCACAACGGGGCTTAAGGCCATATTTTTTTTTACAACGGGACACCGCTTAATTCACAACGGGGCTTAAGGCCATATTTTTTTTTACAACGGGACACCGCTCAATTCACAACGGGGCTTAAGGCCATATTTTTTTTTACAACGGGACACCGCTTAATTCACAACGGGGCTTACGACCATATTTTTTTTTTACAACGGGATCACGCTTAATTCACAACGGGGCTTAAGGCCATATTTTTTTTTTTACAACGGGACACCGCTTAATTCACAGCGGGGCTTAATGTCATATTTTTTTTTACAACGGGATCGCGCTAAATTGACAACGGGCTTACGCGATCCTACGCTAAAGTCATAACGGAGCTTAAAACCCAATTTATTTTTTACAACGGGACACCGCTTAATTCACAACGGGGCTTAAGGCCATATTTTTTTTTACAACGGGATCACGCTTAATCCACAACGGGGCTCAAGGCCATATTTTTTTTTTTACAACGGGACACCGCTTAATTCACAACGGGGCTTAAGGCCATGTTTTTTTTTACAACGGGATCACGCTCAATTCACAACGGGCTTAAGGCCATATTTTTTTTTACAACGGGACACCGCTTAATTCACAACGGGGCTTAAGGCCATATTTTTTTTACAACGGGACACCGCTTAATTCACAACGGGCTTAAGGCCATATTTTTTTTACAACGGGACACCGCTTAATTCACAACGGGGCTTACGACCATATTTTTTTTTTACAACGGGATCACGCTTAATTCACAACGGGGCTTAAGGCCATATTTTTTTTTTTACAACGGGACACCGCTTAATTCACAGCGGGGCTTAATGTCATATTTTTTTTTACAACGGGATCGCGCTAAATTGACAACGGGCTTACGCGATCCTACGCTAAAGTCATAACGGAGCTTAAAACCCAATTTATTTTTTACAACGGGACACCGCTTAATTCACAACGGGGCTTAAGGCCATATTTTTTTTTACAACGGGATCACGCTTAATCCACAACGGGGCTCAAGGCCATATTTTTTTTTTACAACGGGACACCGCTTAATTCACAACGGGGCTTAAGGCCATGTTTTTTTTTACAACGGGATCACGCTCAATTCACAACGGGCTTAAGGCCATATTTTTTGTTTACAACGGGACACAGCTTAATTCACAACGGGGCTTAAGGCCATATTTTTTTTTACAACGGGATCACGCTTAATCCACAACGGGGCTTAAGGCCATATTTTTTTTTTTACAACGGGACACCGCTTAATTCACAGCGGGGCTTAATGTCATATTTTTTTTTACAACGGGATCGCGCTAAATTGACAACGGGCTTACGCGATCCTACGCTAAAGTCATAACGGAGCTTAAAACCCAATTTATTTTTTACAACGGGACACCGCTTAATTCACAACGGGGCTTAAGGCCATATTTTTTTTTACAACGGGACACCGCTTAATTCACAACGGGGCTTAAGGCCATATTTTTTTTTACAACGGGACACCGCTTAATTCACAACGGGCTTAAGGCCATATTTTTTTTACAACGGGACACCGCTTAATTCACAACGGGGCTTACGACCATATTTTTTTTACAACGGGATCACGCTTAATTCACAACGGGGCTTAAGGCCATATTTTTTTTTTTACAACGGGACACCGCTTAATTCACAACGGGGCTTAAGGCCATATTTTTTTTTACAACGGGATCACGCTTAATCCACAACGGGGCTTAAGGCCATATTTTTTTTTTTACAACGGGACACCGCTTAATTCACAGCGGGGCTTAATGTCATATTTTTTTTATAACGGGATCGCGCTAAATTGACAACGGGCTTACGCGATCCTACGCTAAAGTCATAACGGAGCTTAAAACCCAATTTATTTTTTACAACGGGACACCGCTTAATTCACAACGGGGCTTAAGGCCATATTTTTTTTTACAACGGGACACCGCTTAATTCACAACGGGGCTTAAGGCCATATTTTTTTTTACAACGGGACACCGCTTAATTCACAACGGGCTTAAGGCCATATTTTTTTTTACAACGGGACACCGCTTAATTCACAACGGGGCTTACGACCATATTTTTTTTTACAACGGGATCACGCTTAATTCACAACGGGGCTTAAGGCCATATTTTTTTTTTTACAACGGGACACCGCTTAATTCACAGCGGGGCTTAATGTCATATTTTTTTTTACAACGGGATCGCGCTAAATTGACAACGGGCTTACGCGATCCTACGCTAAAGTCATAACGGAGCTTAAAACCCAATTTATTTTTTACAACGGGACACCGCTTAATTCACAACGGGGCTTAAGGCCATATTTTTTTTTACAACGGGACACCGCTTAATTCACAACGGGGCTTAAGGCCATATTTTTTTTTACAACGGGACACCGCTTAATTCACAACGGGGCTTACGACCATATTTTTTTTTTACAACGGGACACCGCTTAATTCACAACGGGGCTTAAGGCCATATTTTTTTTTACAACGGGACACCGCTTAATTCACAACGGGGCTTAAGGCCATATTTTTTTTTACAACGGGACACCGCTTAATTCACAACGGGGCTTACGACCATATTTTTTTTTTACAACGGGATCACGCTTAATTCACAACGGGGCTTAAGGCCATATTTTTTTTTTTACAACGGGACACCGCTTAATTCACAACGGGGCTTAAGGCCATATTTTTTTTTACAACGGGACACCGCTTAATTCACAACGGGCTTAAGGCCATATTTTTTGTTTACAACGGGACACCGCTTAATTCACAACGGGGCTTAAGGCCATTTTTTTTTACAACGGGACACAGCTTAATTCACAACGGGGCTTAAGGCCATATTTTTTTTTACAACGGGACACCGCTTAATTCACAACGGGCTTAAGGCCATATTTTTTGTTTACAACGGGACACCGCTTAATTCACAATGGGGCTTAAGGCCATATTTTTTTTTACAACGGGGCTTAAGGCCATATTTTTTTTTTTACAACGGGACACCGCTTAATTCACAACGGGGCTTAAGGCCATATTTTTTGTTTACAACGGGACACCGCTGAACAAAAAATATGGCCTTAAGCCCGTTGTGAATTAAGCGGTGTCCCGTTGTAAAAAAAAAAAAAAAAACTTTTTTCTTTCGCTTTAAAAACATGACGGTACCCTCAACATCTTTTGAGAACCATAATCCTGGCTCTTCAAAGACACTAACACGCTCTTTTCGAGATGTGGCTGCACAAGCCTTACCACCTCGAGCATACCGAAACAATCCCAATTCGAAATATCGAATTACCGACTCTCTTGGAGACACATCTTCAAACCCATTACTGACCTTAAAGATCAAAAACCAGCTATTCATCGTAACAGTAGTGTTAAACATGCCGTCTTTTACTTTGTTGAAAAAGAATTTTTAAATTTAATACCTGATTTTAAAAAAGCACGTAATGTGCGTTTTCCTTTTGGTACCTGTCTCGGTACTCATGACACTGATGACAGTCAGGGCAAACTTATCGAAGTCATTTTGGATGGCCAATCGGCTGTCGACGATGCAGTAAACAATCCTATTGTTACTGGGCACGACAGAAAGTTTCAGGCCCTCAGGACAACATCATTTTGAAGGTCTATCTTTTAAAATTAACTTTCTTGCCCAGCCTCAACAAGGTCTTAGTAACACCCACCTACACTATTAGTGCCGAAGATATGGATGAAACAACTGGCATCAAACCCAGTCCCACCCTTGACGAAATAACCCACGAGGAGACCCGTCATCCTCGTACTTCCCAATCAATTACGTTGGTATCCGATAACGAATCTATGATGGACGTTTCGGAGGACGATGCGGATGGGTTAACAGATGTCGAAGAGCTTCCCATGGTAGCCAATAATATATTAGTTATTGTTGAAGAACAAATTACCAACAAAGCCAGTAACCCGAAGACGACGTTTGCTAAAGTTCCCATTTCTACTATAAGCAACAAATGAGTCTCTCCTCGAGCTAATAAAGGTGTCGCTGCTGTAAAATATGACCCTTCCTCCTCTTCACCGACATCTTCCTTCCGGAACACATCTGCCTGATGAGGGGGCAGATTTAAATATCTCCAACATTTTTATTTAAGAAAAAAAAATCTATATTACTTTATGAATCTACATAATTCAAATTACACTACCACCACTAATCCTCGTCCTACTACAACAACAGGATCAACATCTTCTTCTCTTCCTCCAATTAACCAAGATCCATTCTTGGCCCGCTCTTTCCTTTCAAGTACCATTAGGATCGCTATTAAACTGTCGCTGTCTTGTCAAAATCAATGAACCCTCTTGTCGTCAAGACTTTATTCATTTTCTGCGTAAACAAAACCCACCTCTAGATATCATTACTTTACAAGAAACACACGCTTCCACTACTGAACTGAAGCTAATTCTTGATAATCTATTCCAAACTTAACAAACAGTCTGGAGCAAGCAACTAACTCCTGATTTAATAACAATTGATCAACGGGTGATAAAGTGTACTATTACTCATTCTCAATGTACCTTTGATCCTATAACTATTGTTACCATTTATGCTCCGGCACAACTCTCTGAACGTCAACAATTTTTTTCTCGTATCACCGAGATGCCTATAATTCGTTCCAGAGAAGATACTCCCTCCGTCAACTTATCTAGTAATTCTTCAACTTTACCCTCTCGAACGATCATTACTGGGGATTTTAATTATAACCTGCGCGATGTCTCCACCTCTTTGAATGGACAACAGGCTCTAAGTAATCACCAATTTCGCTGCAATCAAACGCTTCAATCCAATTTTCTGAACTGCCTAGACTCACCTACTGATATAGCGCTAGTACGGATTTAAATTTAAAAAGGGACAATTATTATTATACAACAATTGTGATAGTGAGCATCAGACTTTTAGTTGTCAACTTAGTTTTATTATTTATTAAGAATATTTCTGAAGTGATCTTAGACGATAAAATATATGGATAAGACAAATAGATGTAAATCGATAATAATACAGTGAGAGATGAGAAGAGAATATAATTCTTAGATGTAAAAGATTAAAGAGTTTACGACGGGTTTATGTAAGAAGATGATGTGATTGTATAATTTACAATGGACAACAAACAGCAACAAAAAGCGGAGGAAATACTACTTAGTATCAATTACAAGATAAATCCCAAATTTAGGTGAAGACAAAACTCAAGAATATTTATTAAAAATGCAAAAAAAAATAAGAGTATTTATAGGAAAGATCTTATCCTGTGTAATAACAAGCCATATTATTATTGGCTGCAATATTACTATATCACCCACATTTCGAAGAGGTCAACAAATGTCAACCATAGACTACATATATTCGACTTCCGATTTATACTTTGATAAGATCAAATCCAATGTGGAATTTATATCACCTGCATGGACTGACCACGCTCTATTAACTTTTTCGTTTAAGTGTCTTTGTACACATTCAAGAAAAGGACTTTAGAGAGCCAATCCAGCCTTAGTTTCGAATCCCAGATTTTCAGATTCCATGTATCAAGAGATTGATAAAATTTGCTCAACATTTCGTCACGATCTTAGCCCTAAGCTTCGATGGGATCGTATTAAGGATATAGTTCAAACAGTTGCTTGTAAAACTGGCCGCCATCATGCTAATTGGCGTAAAAAAACATTTAGATGTGTTACAGTTAAAACGAACCTCGATCCTCAATAATTCGTCACTGACTACAGCTGCCCTACAATTCAAACTTTCCAAAGTGGAAGCGAAAATTCAGGGACTACAAGAGGAAATGTCTACCAATGACTCTTTACGATCACAAAAAATTTGGAGGGAAACAGGTGAATCTTCGCCTTCTTTTCTGAAACGCTCTATTACTACTCGCCCTACCAAAAGTTTCATTCCGGAATTACTACATCCAATTACATCAGCATCCTGTACAACTATAGAAGCTCTGACTGATGTAGCTCAATCATTCTATCAAAGTTTATACATTCCAGATGACACCAACTTAAACGCAATTGATCTGCTAGCTGAGACTATTCACTCTAGTTCGGTACTTGACGAAAGTCAAAGTGAGCATCTCTTAACTGAATTTTCAAAAGATGATTTACTGGACGCTGCTAAACGCACTCCTCCACAAAGTAGCCCTGGTATAGATGGCATTCCATATCAAATCCTATTCCATATGTTACATAACGCTGCTGCATTACGGGTGGCTATCCAGGTTTACAATGATGCTCTATTCAAAAGTATTTTTCCTCCCAGCTGGCACAAGACGTGTATGATCCTCCTTCCTAAAAAAGGTGATCTCACAAATCTCAGTAACCATCGACCAATCAGCCTTATCAACACAGATGCCAAGCTCTTTACTTGTATGCTCAATTCCCGCTTAATGATGTACATGAATGACCTGATCAGTCCACAACAGATGGAATTTATGCCTGGTCGATTCATTGGTGAAAATGGCAAAACCTTGCAAGCCGTCATATCTATAGCCGAACATAACTCGTCTAACGCAATTGGACTATTTCTAGATCAGGAAAAGGCTTATGACCTAATCCATCCTACATACCTAGCTCGAATGATGAACAAATTTGGGATACCCAACCCGATAATATCGTCACTGTGCACATTATTTTTTAACACACAAATTCACATCAATATTAATGGCCACCTATCTACACCAGTCCTACAACGACGAGGCGATCCTATTTCACCTCTGTTGTTTAATATAGCCTTTGATCCCTTCCTTCGCTCGGTGCAACAAATAACAAATTTCCAAGGCTTTTGTTTCCCATCATTAGTGTCCGAACCATCTCCTGAACCGTTAAAAGTCATGGCTTATGCAGACGACACTCTTGTGTTTCTAGAGTCCCACCAGGATTTTGATTGCTTAGAACAACTTATTAACCAGTATGCCCTCGCTTCTAACGCAAAACTAAATTTCGCTAACACCCAGACGTTCTCATTGTCAGGTAAATCAAGTCATTACTGGACGGCGTATTTGCTTTCACGGGAGACACCCATTACTTCATGGCATGATCGATATTCCTCTGATGCACTAACTTATCTTGGCTAACCATTATACTTTAATGCTTCTCAGAAAAACCTAGCGATTGACACACTAATACAAAATATACAACGTGGAGTCAAGTGCACTCTGAACGTAATCTATCAATTAAAGGCCGAACAGTTGTCCTCAATACCCTCCTCCTATCAAAATTATGGCACGTGCTACGTATAGTTCCTCTGACAAAAGGTCAAATTGATCGTTTACGTGGAATCTGTAGTACTTTTCTCAATGCATCTCGCTTTCCAAGAATAGCATACCGAAATTTTGTTCGTCACAAAGCGAAAGGCGGTGTTGGTATTTTAGATCCTTTAGTCCAACAACTTAAGCTACACTGGCGTTGGCTAGCTGATTTGATTATTGCTCCCACAGCGCTACAACAGCCTGAACATCTTCATTGATCTTTTCTACGTACCAGTGTCCCATATCTCAAATAAAGCCTCTCTCTCATCGCATCTGATGGTGCCTCCTCTTACATCTGGCCACTTCTATTTTCAACAAAAAGACAGAGATTTCGTCCGTTAACAACAAATTCGTTCACAATTCTATTTTCCCTAATGGATTCCTTACCTACATATGATATTAGCCAATCTGACTTGTCATTAGCTACATTTCTGCAGTTGGACCTAGCTTTAATCGTCATTTCAGCTTCCAACACTCCTGTTATTCCGGCCTCTGAGTCAATCATTTCTGTAGTTTTCCCTCGCAGCAGCGTCCGTATGTCTAAGATCTTGGTACGCGATTTTCTTCATCGTGGGTCCCAATACACATATTCTTCAACAACAATCTGATCGTGAAACTATATTCCCCTACGCTACTTCGTAAATTTCGGGTCGCAATAGCCGATGGGTTCATACAACATACTGGTAACTTTCGTCGTCTCTTGGGTGCCAATATAGAGTCTACTGGGTCTATCAATTTCCGTCCTCTTCTTGAGTCCTAAATGTCCACATGTATTCAAGCATTCGATCAACCAAAACAATTGCGAGCCATATTGCGTGATTCCTTGTTCCCTCCAAAGCCTGCGACCACCTTTTACGGACGTGCTAATTCAACCTGGTAGAATACTGGCTATACTCGTTTGGATTGATTCTAATGACTTACAAAACAAAAAAAATCTACTGTCGCCACTTCTTTATCATTCGTCTCCATTGTTGGTTGTATTTTACTTGTGGTCTGGAGATCTCATTGGCAACTAGTTTCTGACGATCAACCTTTCACAATCGTACCGGTGCTTCCACTCTGCAATTCATCTGTATGGCAACTACACTTTCAAGTTCTGGCCGATTGACAATAGTGTGCTTTC